TCGCCCTTAGGCTTGGCATCGTCCGAATTTTTTGGATAGCGAGGATTAAACATATGAAAATCCTGAAAATGACGGGTCTAGATAATGTGTTGCAAGATGCACTGTTTCGGGGACTCAAATTTTTTTTTTTTTCATATTCATATATCTCGATGTCGAGATGATCAATTAGAAGGTTTTTAACATTAAAACAACATTTTCCGATGGATTTTTTAGGCGCATATGTAATTCTATATTTTAAGGTTGCAACCTTATATAAACTTTTTCCTTTTTTTTTGGGGTAAGTAAAAATAATTAATATTACATGTGGGTGCTGTCATTGTCCTCTATAGTTTATAAATGCTTTTGTTTCTATTAAGAATTTCTACTTTACCCTAAACTAATTACTTAAAATACCCCTAAACAAAAATTTACTATATTATAAGATAAGGGTATCAAGTATCCAAAAATATTGAGTACATCAAGTATATACTCCAAGTGTAGGAGTAGCCTTACAAAGCCCAGGTTGGACTAGCCTACACCTACACATGGAGTATATACTTGATGTACTCAATATATATATATATCAATTCACCCTCTAAATGTGCAGTCACATTTGTCTGATATGACAAACTTCGAGGTTTAGAAGCTCAATAAGCACCCAGGGCCATAGAACTCAAAACTTAATTTATCACGTTCCAAATGCATCATTCTTTTCTATTATCAAGCTTCCTCAAAACCAATTGGCATATAAATGAAGACTAAAAGCACGTAAATCAACCATTTCCCATATTAATTGTTTAAATCTATTTGTCAAATTAAAAATATGAGATCTTTCAGAGGATGTTATGACAGGTGAAATCTTCAATCTTATGTCCTTCATAACCATTTGCATATTGTCTATCCATTATTAGAATCCTACACCACCTAAAGTTTCTCTTGAAAATGTCAAATTACTTTCACTGCCTTTTAAAATTGCCTAATAACAAGTCATGCTCAATCTAGTTGAAATTTGACCAAAACACCAATTTCCACCAAAAGAAAATACCCAATCTATCCAGCATTCCATTAATGGAATTCTGCACCATCGAAATTTTCTCATGATAATATAATAAACTACTCCCATTATCTTTTAAAATTACATTACATAACGAGTTATCCTCAATCTAGTTGAAATCTGACCAAAACACCGATTTGCCTGAAAGGAAAGACAGTATTTTATAAGGTATCTTGATATTTGATCATTATCCTCCATTTTATTGCGCTACACAGAATTATATAGTAAATTCATATAATTTTCACTTTCACTGCCTTATTTTTGGGTAATTTTTTCACTGCCTTATTTGCTTTAGCATATCGCATAACTTGCATGCCTGCAGTTATTCAGAGATTGCCCACACCAGAGGAATGCAATTTGAATCAATACAAGCAAATGAAACAGGTTATCAATCAAGTCAATGACTCAAGACTAGCACCAAAGGTGGGAACTAACCTGAGCCATGGAGCGCTTTTTCTTCAAGAGTTGAGTCCTTGCTTTACTGATTGCAGAGTTCGGTGACCTGAACATTCTCTGCAGAAAGAATAAATACAGAAGTTAATACAATGTAGATTTCGGAACCAGCAACTGTATCTTTTAAGTCACTTATTACCCAAAAGGCAATATTTGCTAGAATGAAGAAAACCCTCAAAGCCCTAGGTCTTTACAGTATGGAGCACTTTAAAGTTCATGAAAGAGAGAGCACATTAACTTTCATATCTGCATGTCACTTATTACCCAAAAGGCAACATTTGCTAGAATGAAGAAAACCCTCAAATCCTTAGTTTTTTACAGCATGGACCACTTCAAAAAGTTCATGAAAGAGAGAGAACACTAACTTTCATATCTGCATGACTCAACACAAAAACTTCCTCTGATCTTTTTAAAATTCAGTGAGTAAGTCAACTCACGTTGAGCACTCAGTAAACCTCATAAGATTCAGCTGATTTTCATGAGTTCTTTTTTTTTCTTTTTTCTTTTCCTTTTTTTAATCGTAGACTCTTGTAAGATGCCACTCAAGACCGTGGAAATTCTTGATATGAGTCCATGTTTAAACTTAGGACTCCTGCTTCCAACTAGGACCTCACACTATTGAGAAGCCAAGGCCCAAAGATCAGACATCCATTCTAATCTATCACAGTAGGCTGATTGCACCAACTACTTGCATCAAATAAGTAACTCAATTACACAATCACTAAAAAATGGAAAAGTGGGAGTTTTGTCTCCCCCTAGTTTCGCAGCAAAGCCTTTCCTTTGGCCAGTTTACATGACTTCAGACTTCAGACATCACTTAAAGTAACTTTAAATCTTTAGAAGCCTCTTGTCACCAAATTCAAATTGCAAGTTAGAATGTAACAGATTTATTAAAATGTGGAAACCCTCCCTAATGCAGTATATATTACACCCTTGAACACAACATATTCAAACATGTTGGCACTAGGTCTACGGTATGAGTTCTCAATCCCTTCACCCACTAATATCTCTTGAAAAATGTAGTACTATTTCATTAATACAATACTACCATTTCCCTTGTTATCATCAATACCATCTTGCCTTTAAAATTCCCAAGCAATAAAAAATAGAGGTTCCCAGCAAGTAGCAATGGCTTGGCAATTCTTACGTAGACGTATATTCATCATTGGCAACTAGACTCTTGCCAGTCACTTAGGTATAATTAAAAATAATATGGGTGCACTAATACAAACAGAACAAGATCCAGTCAAAGACAAAATGAAATTGGATGGAGGTGACAAACAACGGGGTATTGGCTCTCCTGAGGCACCTAATCAGTTTCATTATGACAAACGATTGACACAAGCATAATGGCAATTCAATCTCCAAAAAAAAAAAAAAACATAATGGCAATTTATAAACTTTATATACAACGAATTTTCAATGAAGTAGGCGTACATTGTATTTACAAAAAGAAGAAAGGAACCATAAATTGCATTGAGATAATGGAAAATCATGCCCCGTAAGGAATGTGTCATATATCAGAGTCCAAAAGAATAGTCTGATACTAATTTCTTTCTTACTCTCCAATAGCTCATTGCCATACACCAAAGCCCCCATCCTTCGAGAGGTATGCATCATCGAGTCTCTCTAGATTTTCCCTACAGCCCACAACTGCTTTTTATATTTATTCTTCTCGACTGTCACAGTCACTGCTGCAAGTGCATTCCATCCCTTCATTATCAATGAGATTGCTGTCAATCCCGACAATCCCTTTTTCCAAATGTTTATTCTTTCACCTCACTAACATCAACTGCAGATTAGACCATACCTGACAGCTTTCCTAGATCCAAAACTCCCCATGCTCCCTCTCCTGCTGAATACATCAGCTTGGCTATTCTCTTACCTCGTCCTACATCTCACAGCATATCACCTTCCTAATATATAGAATTTTCTCCTATTTTTTCATCTTTTCTTGCTCTTTCATCATGACATTGACTTGTCCATGCGAGTGAAACAGTAGATTTACAGTTAACCCAACCACCCAATTGAACTCAAATTGTGGCTATTTATAAATATCAAATCCTGCAATGTCAAAGAGCCAATCTTCCCAAGATGAAAACCAGCTCATAACATGAACCACATTATTGATAATTTTTATGGTGGCAGAATGATGAAGCATGCTCCTAGGGTTCGAGCTTGGTCTCAACTGGTTAAGGTGCTAGCTATTGCAAGAATACTTTCAAAAGTTCTCAAACATCAATGCTGAAAAAAAAATAAATGAACTCCCATGATTTGATGATTTTATACCAATGTAAAAAAATATTGCTCTTAGATGGTTCACACTTTTTTTGTATGGATATATCGTGTGTACTTGACAGCCAGCTGAAGTGAAAAACTCCATTATATTTTGTCCATAAGTAGGCAGCAAGTAATGATGTCTTGAACAAACATGCGATGAACGAAGCACAGTCATGGGGTGAGAAAGTAAACCCTGACCAAAAAAATATCACAGCCATCAAGATCATCAACAACTGCTTGTCTAGCCATGAAATGGATCATAACCACTTCGGTATTGCACAAATGAGTAGTATGTTCACACCACTAACAATCACAGACACCTGACTACATGAACGTGAGCTTCAGGGTTCCAAAATAGCCAGTGATTCGAAAGGTGCTAACCATGGGCATTAAGGAGAGAGATCCCACTCTCTAATATCTGGCCATATGAATCATAACTTGCCCTGCCTAATGCATACTACATATCTGGTGTAAAAGTCTTATACACAATTACTCTTCGTAAACAATAGAATTAGGGTTTTTAAGAAAAAAAGGTGTATATGACATTTTCATTAAGATATTAGATCTCTTGGGTTTATATTTTTTATTTTAGCTCTGTGCTTCCAATTTGCCCCTCTTTTCTATTAAAAATGGATCAAAATAGGATCGGCCATTCTTGTTCTCTTCGACCTTGCCCTTACCCCATTTTCTCTCTATCATCTTTCCCTTTTCTCATTCTCTCTGGGAAAACATGCTTCAACAATGGATCTGGCCACTACACAGAAGAAAAATCTTCATATCATCTCTCATGGATTTCAATTGCTTCACAAGTTTCTTTGTCAGGACAACTCAATATCTTGCATTTGCTTATGTGAAAAATTAAAAGATTGCTTGGTCTCTAGGTCAAAAGAAACAGAAGAGCTACTACAAAAAGTGAAGATTGCTTAAGGATCCTGTTGATAGTTGAGGGAACCAAACTGCACTCTTTTGGAACTCTGAGATGTTGGGGTTATCGTCTTGTTTTTGGGGAGTAGAACAATTGCTAGGGTAAATGGGGAAGCACGTTTACAAAGCTTGAAACAGACAACGACTCATCATCTTAAATACATGCTTCAGACGATGTAGCCTTATTGTCTGTCAGTTTACCAAAATATATTCTCTTCCTGCAATCTTAAAGTGGTTCAAAATGAAAAAATGTCAAAAAGTAAACACAGTGAGAGAGGTGATTGCAAAAATAGACAAAAAGGGAAAAAGAACTGCAGGGAATATCCTTGTTGGACGGTTTTATGCTTTCATAGGCATCTTCTTCGACTACAACCAAATGAAGTTTTTCTTGAGATTTTTATCACTTAGGATTATGAGTAATGCTGAATTTACTTTATCCATTGTGATCATTAATTTCTCCAAATCATGGATGGTGTTGATTTGAATTCTCACTCTAGAACATTTTGTTCTTTTCTTGGGCATCATAGTTTTCATCAAATTCCACTGCAAAAATTTTCTCCAGTATCTGGAGGTTTGGCCAAAATTGTACAGTCAGATTCAAATTTATCAAATTTTGCATGCATTAATAGCTCATCTACTCACTCTCAGATTAAAATAATAGATAGAAAGAGAGAGCAGGGACAGGACGATTTCAGAAAGGAAAGGAAAGTGGAGAAGGAGGGTGGGGTTTACGCCTCAAAGAGGGAGGAGACAGTGATGACATTTTGATGATTCATGGCAACCCATAAGAAAAACTACAGAAATGTTTTAATTCCATATAAAATCTCCATAAACTCAGGAAACATAAAAACTGTGAAAAAAATCAGCAACAACCCTCCCTCTTTCCCTTTCAGTCAACTAGATAAAGATTGACAACAAGGAGATAGGCTCCCCAGATAACTAGCAGTTTAGAACTCAATTCCAGTAAGAACAGTGGAAGGAGATAAATTCCAGTTCTTTAATAGGAAGAGAGGGAAAATAGATCATTTGGCCCTCAAGGACACTAGTTCATGCTGGGACACTGGAGACAGGAGACCAAAGTCAAAAATAAAGAGTCAAGTTTTCGTTGTTGTCTTAAAAAACCCTAAAAGTTAGTATAATAAAAATCAATACAAGTTAATATAAAAAGTATTATAGCTAGAGGTACACATTAAAAGAGCAGCAGAACAAATACACCCAAACAAGAATATCAGTTTTTTCTTAAACTTATAGCATGGGGCTGTTTGTCAATTAAGGTCATGGGTTGAAAGTTGAAACCCACATTTTCCTCTCCATAGCAAAAAATAATCCAGAGCCAAAGTAAAAGACACTTGTCTTAGACCTCACTTTATGAGCCTTACAGCACGATACCTATCAAAAAACAAGCACAATTAGACATTTCATGACCGTACCTTTTCCCTCACTGTTAGTGATTGCTGCTTATCTCTTCTAGGAGTGAAATCAAAAATCTCTTGAAGCAGGTCATTCTCCTGCCAAAAGCCCATCATGGCATTCAGCCAATTCATAAATGTGACAAACCAACCATTTACAGATAGATATGCACAAAATGATTGTTAAACATTGCTTCGTGTGAAGCCAAAATGGAGTAAAATTGTAGATCAACAAACTTACCTGCATATGTGTCAGAAATCCCTTCCCGAGAAAATGCTTCAAAAAGTTCAACTGTTCAGAAAAGTAATCAACACAAACTTGAGAAACAGACTCCAAACATTTTTCTTCTCTGATAGCTAACAGACACTCCCAAAATGAAGATATCAAGCAAAACACACTGGACAAAGAAAACATTACTTGTATCAGTTGGGTCCATGTAATAAATTTCAACACATCCCCATGTTTAAGTTTCACCAATGCTTCTGGGCCATCACCAGTCTGAAATTCAAATAAAAGTTAAGAGTATATAAATTGCTAAATTTCATTTCAGGCCTAATCTCTCTCTCCCACAAACTTCCCCCCAAAAAAATGAACATAAAGTAAATTAAATTCAAAATAATGCCAGTTAGGAAACAGATAAAACCTCAAGCGATGCCAAAATATCGCGAAATGAGCTGCGTTGGTTGTTCAGATCTTTCTTCGAAGAACCTTTTCCCCCAGCCTCAATGGAAAGGTCCTCCACTTGGTTCAGGATTTTACCGTACAATAGATTTTCATATTGTGCTTTTTCTGGGGATTCATTTTCATCAGGGATTAGCCTTTGAAGTTCATCAATAAGAGCAAGTGCTTCACCAGCAGCAATTCTAACAGAACGATCGTCTTTATCCAACAAAGATGACATAACAGAGGCTGACCTGTAAACAAAAGCAGCACCCCATCATTGGGTCAAAACCATAATCTTCCTCAAGTAGTGCCACAAAGAACTTTTTTTTTTCGTTTCTAAAATGCCATTAACCAAATAAGCCATTAACCAAATAAGCCATTAACCAAATAAGCCATTAACCAAATAAGCCAATATGGTTTTCACAAAAATTACACTCACACAAGCAAGAATTTGGAATCAGCCTTCCAACTAGGAATTGTTGTCAAAAGAAATGCCCATGCTGATATAGCGAATGCCACTAAATTTGGTGGAAGCTTATTGGATGATACAGCCTGAAAAGAATGAGAATAAAATAAGCATCTCTAAGAAAAGAGCGAAGCACCACTCTGCCTGGCAACTCCAAGCTTAATAATCTGTCACAGACTACATCTGAAATTTTTAAATCAAATGCATTAACAATCACATTACTTGAGGAGCCGATTTTGGGTGAATCAAATGCCACATAAGTTCCATAGATTTTTCAGTGTCCTCATCATTTCCACCAACGAACGTAAGAATAGCAAGGCAATCTAGCACCTACAATTGAGCACCTTCCTAATTTAGATAAGAATACGATATATGATTAAGCTCCCATACCATAGTGGAGACATAATATGCATACCGCTGATCTCTTCCCAGATTCACATCCACCTTTCAGTGCTTGAGAAAGGTGGGGCATTGCCTCCTCCAAGATTTTATGTGCCCTATAGCCAGCTCCGATAGTAATTGCTAGTAAACCTGCACATCAGGTTCCACCTTCTCCATTGATTTAACAAATCTAAGCGGGAGAGAGAGAGAGAGAGAGAGAGAGAGAGAGAGAGAGAGAGAGAGGAGGAGACGACGAGAGAGAGAGACGACGACGACGACGACGACGAAGAAGAACGTACTCGTACGTACTTAGTAGTTAGTAGTACGAACGAGTAGTACGTAACTA